TTGGAGGGGAAGAATGGAAGTCGGGGGGGCAGAGCTCGGATTTTGGGGGCAGGGCCTGAGAAATTTGGGGAGGTTTTGGGGGGGATTGTGGCTCAGATTTGGGGGTACAGGATAAAGGGGTCTGGGGGGACCAAAGCTCAGACTCGGGGGTGGGGGTGGCGTGGCATTGGATTTTGGGGAGCAGAGCCAGAGATATTTCTGGAGGTTTTGAGGGGGGGCAAAGCCCGAGGGATTTGAGAGGGCAGAAGAGGGGAGGGGGGTGGGAGGGAAGGCAGAGCTCAGATTTTTGGGGGGCAGAGCCTGAAAATTTTGGGGAGGTTTAGTGGGGGCAGAACTGAGAGTTTTGAGGGGACAAAGCCCAAGAGGTTTGGGGGGGCACATCAAGGGTTTTGGGGGGACAGAGCTGAGGGATTGAGGAGTGCAAAACTCAGGGATTTGGAGGGGCAGAGCTCAGATTTTGGGGGTCAGAGTTCAGATTTTGGGGGGTCAGAGCTCACACTTGGAGGAGGTGCCCCCGAGGATTGGGGATCCGGGTTGGAGCGCCGGGGATCCCCCGGGAAAATGGGGGGTGTCCCCCCATCCCTGGATCCAGGGACCCCCTGGATCGACCCCTCGCGCGGGGAGGACATGGAACGAGCTCCCCCTTTGTTCCCTTCCATCCGGGAGGGTTTTGGGGGGCGATTCCCGATCCCTTCCGTGGTGATTCCCGGTCCCTCCCGCGGCGTTTCCCGGTCCCCATCCAGGATTTTCTCCCCGCGGGCTTCTCCCTCTTTTCCTGCCCCCCGGCCCCCAACCCCAAACCCTCCTTCCCGGTGCCTTTTCCCACCTCAAAGCCGGCAGGAAAACTTTCCTATCGTCGGGATAACGCGGAGCAGGAGATTCCACCCCCTTCCCTGGGGCCTTTCCTGGTTTTTGGGGGTGGGGGCACAGCCCCCTCCCCACCGGGATTTGGGAAGCAAGGCAGCACAATTCCCCTTCCCAGCAGGAAATCCCATAGGATTCCTCCTCCCCAGGGATGAGGATTTCGGATTCCTCCTCCCCAGGGAAAAATCCATTCCCAGATTCCCCAAATCGGGTGCTTTCCCATCCCCTCGGAGCTTGGAGAAGGGATCTGTGATGGCGGGGGGGGGGGGGTATTGCCGGGAAAAAGGGAGGAGGAGGAGACGGGAATGTGGGAGCGGGGAGGAAGATCCATCAGCTTTTCCGTGGCCGTTGTGATCTGGTTTTTTTTTTATATCTTGGATTTTCTGGAGCCTCCTTGGCCGCTGCCGGTCGGGAGGAGGAGGAGGAGGAGGAAGGGGGAGCAGGGATCGGGAATGGGATCAGGAACAAGCTCCTCCCGGCAGGAGTGTGGGAGGATTCACTCCCGGGGTGGGGGCTGGGCCAGGATGGCACAGACGGCCCTGGATTTGTGGGAATGTGGGGGTTTTTAGGGATGGGGGAGCCTGGAGGGTTTGGGGGGTGCAGGGAGAGCCCCCCCCTCTACTCCGGGACATGCCGGCACATCCCGGGATTTGGGGCATCCATGGCGCTCTGGGAGCCCTGGGGGAGAAATGGAGCTGGTGTATCCATAGGGATCCCCCCCCCATCCATAGGGATCCTTCCCATCCCTAGGGGTTTTTCCCTTCCTTAGGGACACCCCCATCCATAGGGATCTTCTATATCCATACGAATCCCTCCCATATCCATAGGGATTCTTTATATCCCTGTGGATCCCCCATTCCTTTGTGCTGGAATTCCCTGTGCCATTGGAGTCTCTTGGATCCACCCCAGGGATCCATGACAGTGCCAGTGCCATGCTCCTGATCCTTTGGGATCCTGGGATCCCAGTGCTCCCTTTTCCTGGCTCCTTTCCTGCTCCACGTCCCAGGAATTCGGGCGGGCAAAGATCCAAATCCAGGTGTTTTGGGTATTCCATGCACATCCATGGAGTCCCATCCCTCATCCACCAGTTCTGCTGGATGAGGTTGGAGTGGGGATTTTGGGGCTGAATTCTGGGATTGTCCCATTTTGGAGTCCCTATGGAATGTTGGAGGATCCCAATGGAATGTTGGAGGATCCCACACCAGTTCCTTGGGATGGGAGCAGTTGGATTTGGGTGCTTTTTCCGGGCCTGGGGATGTTTTCCAAAAAAACGTAGGCCTTGTTCTCATGGAATCTCAGAGAATGGATGTGTAAATCCTGGATTTTTGGGATTGGACCGAGCCAATCCCATGTGTACCCTCGGGAAGGAGATGCTACCCAAATCCAACTGAAATTCCCCAAACTCTGCCTAAAATCCCTCCAAATCCGTCTAAAATTCCTTCGAATCCATCTGAAGTTCCCCAAATCAACCTAAAATTCCCCGAACTCCATGTAAAATTCCCCCAAATCCACCTAAAATTCCGGGATTTGTTCATGTTGAGTTGTTGGCTGAGGGCAGGGTTGGGAATTTGGGCTGCTCCCAGTTTGCTCCCAGTTCAGACCCCCCCTTAACTGGGGAGCTGCTGCTCCTGTATCCACAGGGAATCTCCTGCTGCCTCACCACCTTCGCCGCCATTCCAGAGGTGATCCTCCGTCAGAATTTTGTCTAAAACAGGGAATTCTGAGGGAAAGGAGCTCAACCGGAGTGATACGAAATTCCAGAGAATTCCCCAATGGCTCCATGGCCTTTCTTGAGCAGCTCCAAAGCTGGTGCATTTTCCCCTTGTCCTTGATCCCTGATTCCAGTTAAATCTTGGAGACCTGAAAAATTCCAAGGCTGCTCCAACAGGGGCATTCCCAGGGCTTATTGTTCATTCCCGGCAAGAATTCCCACAAACCAGTGGCACTTCGGAATCCACATCCAGAGTCTCTGCCCTGGGTTTGGAATGACAGTCCTGGGGGCTGGAATTAGAGGGAATTTGCCCATGGCCTGATTTTCCAAGGAATGGCCTCAGTGGGATGTCGGATCCCGAAATCCCAAGTGCCACTCGCTGTTTTTTCCTGGAAGTGCTGGAAACAGCTGGAATGGGAAGTGGGAACGGCTGGATGGGGATAATGAGGGTGGGAATGGCACCCAAATTCCAAAGGGATCAGGCAAAAGATGGGTTTTGGAGGGGTTGATCCCAGCTGGCATTGGAATAATCCATGGAAAATGGGATTGTGCCATTCCAGGGAGTCCTTCCCAGCATTGAGTTTGTTGGAGAGGCCTCATTCCCACTTCTCCTTGGGATCAACTGGCTTTGGATTCCCAAGGATTGGAAAATATAGGGAAAACTCATCCCTTTCCCTGTAGGATTGTCCTCCGGTGTTCCCAAACCTTTTCCCAAGCACTTGGTGGGAAAAGTATTGGGATGGAGCTGATCGACCGCCATTGGATGAGGAGGAGGAAGGTCCAAAAAATCCAGGAATTTGATCCAGGAATCCTCCATTTTGGAGGAAGACTGTCCCTGAGGGATCATGCTGGGGGGAGACGGAGATCCAGGGACCCTTTGGATTTGGAGTTGTGCCTCATCCAAGGGATTTGGGGATGAGCTCAGCCGGGTCCTGGGGGTCTCCTGGTCCTAAAACTTCCCCAAAATTTCATCCCAATAAATTCACTCAGGGCCATCTCATCCCACTTTTCCGAGTGGCCGCCTCTTCCCTGGGAAAGCGGGAACGTCAGTCAGCCCAGAGACCCTCTGGAGACCCTTCCCACCGCCTCCCTGGTGTGTTAGATCCCAAAATCCCCATAAATGAGGAGCAAACAGGGCCAGTCCAGCCAATCAGCCTCGGAGCTGAGGGTTTTCTGCCTGGGATCACCTGTGGATCATGGATTGGGGTCAGGAATCGCAGCCGGATCAAAGGAATTCTTGGCAGACGCTCCCTCAAAGGCCTTTTGAGCTTGGAAACAGGAGCATCCAGGGGATGGATCCGTAGGGAAAACCCCTCCAAAATTCCACAAAATGATGTTTTCCCGCTTCCTTCCCCCCTCCTGGCCCTGAGGATCTGTGGGAAGGGCTGGAGCAGCGGGATGGGATGAGGATGGATGGGAGGAATCAGCTCTCTGAGTGTGCCAGGAATGTTTTCATCTCCTCCCAAACCTCTTCCTGGCATAAAACAGGGATGGAAAGGCTGGAGGAAGGTGGGAAAACAGCCTGGAATGGTCCTAAAAAACAGGGAATGGGATCTAAGGGAATATTTGGCTGGGATGGGATGAGGAGGTGGGAGAGGGAAAGGGAGGAGGGACATTCCCAGGATCCTCCTGGGATCTCATTTGTGTTTTCCCATGGGATGGATGTGGGGAGTGGGAACCAGTGAGGACCAGTGGGTTCCTGTTCTGTGGATGGGACTGGAATCCTGGGAATGGGATGTTGGAGGCAGATGGTTCCTTCATTCCATAGGGAAGAGAAGTTTCCTGAAGCCAAACCTTCCCTTCGGCCCCACGCTCCTCATTTCTTCCCCTAAAACCACGAGATTTGGGAAGATTTTGGGAGATTCTCATCCCTGATCCTCTTCCAGACTCCCCATGTTTAATCCCACCTTTCTCCGCTCTCTCCATGTTTTCCATGGACACAACCTTGGAAAAATCATCCCAGGGCCCATCCCACCCCCTCCTCAGCGGAGAAATCCATGGAAATTAAAGCCAGTTGGTCCTTTCCCCCTTTGGAAACCAAAATGTTCCTTTTTATCCAGGAAAGGCAAACCAGGGGGTTCCAGCAGAGTGGAAATGCCACAGAATTCCCGGACTCTCTGCAGCCCAGGGGTGGAATAAAGCCATGGAAGTTCCAGGGTGTTGGGAATTAGGGGATTATTGGTGTATTTTGGGAGGATCTGACACTTCCCATCATTCCAAACCCTGTCCAACCTGCAGGCACTCCCAGGGATGGGGCAGCCCTGGATTCTCGGAATAATCCACACCAGGGCCTCCCCACCCTCACGGGGAGAAATTCCTTCCCAATATCCCATGTAAACCTCCCATGTTTTAGTTGGAAAGACGTGTTCTCCATCTCTAGGATTCTCCATCTCTGAGTGTTTCCACCTCTGGAATTGGGCTGGAGCAGCTCAGTGGGAGGTTTGGGAGAGCCAAAATCCCGGCAGGTCTTTCCGGTGCCAGAGGGAAGAGGAGATTCCAAACCCACCGAATCTGTCCAGACCAAGGGGTTCTTGGCCACATCCCTCGACATCTTCCCTGGGATCCCTTGGCATCTTTCCTGGGATCCCTGGTGTCGTTCCCAAGGTTTCGGGATCTTTGCCAGGACCCCTCGGCCTCTTCTCCGGCATCTTCCTCCACATTCCTTGGCATCTTCCTCAACGTCTTCTCTGGAATCTTTGCCCTCATCCCTCAGGATCTTCACCAGGGATGTAGAATCTTCTTTGGCATCTTCCCCCCCATCCCTGGGTGTCTTTGCCGCTTTCCCGGGCGTCTTCTCTGGCATCTTTGCCCGGAACATTCGGCACCTTCCCCAGGGTTTTGGCATTTTCCTTGGCACCTTCCTTGGCTTTTTATCCAGCATCTTCCTCAGCATTCCTTGGCATCTCCTCTGGCATCTTCCCTGGCGATCCCTTGGCATCTCCACTGGAGTTCTGGCATCTTCCTTGGCATCTTTGTCACATTCCTGGGCATCTTCTCTGGCATCTTTGCCCGGATCCTTCAGCATTTTCGCCTGGATCCCTCGACCTCTTCCTTGACGTCCCTTGGGATCTTTCCCCAGATCCCTCACTTTATTCCTTGGCACATTCCTTGACATCCCTCAGCCTCTTCTCCGGCATCTTCGCCCTCATCCCTTCCTGCATTCCCTGCAATCCCAGGGCACATTCCCGGGAATCCCTGTCCATCCTCTCCCTGCCCTCGGTGATCCGGCCCCGGTGCTGCCGAGGCCGCTCCTCCTCCACCCCCAAACCTCAGGAACAGCGGGTTTTTAGGGAATGGGGTGGGGGTGGCTCCCGGTGACTCTGGTGGCTCCTCCTCGGGCTGGAAGGAGTTAAAATTACATGGGAGGGAAGGAGCTTCCATGAATGAAGACAAAGTTTGGCGGGGGGCCAGGGGGGGGGGCGGGGAACCAGAGCACCCAAAAACCGGGAATATCCCCCCAATTCCCCCCTCCCCAAACCCGGCTCCAATTCCGTGGCTGGAGGTGCCAAAAACCGGCTCCGACCGGATCGGATTTCTTTTTCCTTTTTTTTTTTTATTCCCTTTTTTTTCCCCTTCTCTTTTTCCCTTTCCCGCGAGGGCTGATGGGAAGCAGTCCGTCAGCATCCCCCTTTTCTTTTGTTTAATATCTCCAACGGCGCATGATTGGCAGGGAAGGGCCCGCTCGGAGCTGCTCCGGCTCCAGCCACGCTCCACAGGGGGATGGATCCCCCTCCTTCCCGACCCCTGGCTCCTCCTGCCCCTTCCTGCTGCTCTCCCCCCGCTCCCAGCCTTAATTTTCCTGCCAACTGGAGCCAGCAGCGGGAATCTTGGACCTGTGAGTATCCCCAAGCCCATCCCGGGGTTATCGGGAATGTTGGGAATGGGAGACACACAAAAGGCTCCTCACGGATGGGCTTTCCCGCTGGTTTTGCTGACTGGGAATGTTTTAAGGGAATGTTTTAAGGGGATGTTTTACGGTTGGATTTGCTGCTGGAGTCATGGTTCCCTTTCCTGCTTCCAGCCCCCCCCCCCCTTTTCCCACCTCATCCCTGCTCCCAACCATCGCTATTCCGGAGTGATCAGATCCCGCCCTGACTGCAGGAATGGGTGAAAAGACAGGGAATGAGGATGCTTGGGATGGGTTTTCTGGCAGGTCGGTGTCCCATTATTGGGATCATGGGTGGGATGGGGGGGGGTCAATGGCTCCGAGGTCGGATCCGGAGCAGCTGCACAAAGGCGGCTCCGCAGTCGAGGAAATCGGGAAGGGTTATATAAGGAAGCCTGGGAAGTTTGCGTCATCCCGGATGGGGAGGGGGCCCAGGGACCAGAACCGGGCGGTCCCTCCCCTCCCCCCCCCACCATTCCCATCGTTTTCCACCACTTTTTATTCTCCTGGAGCATTTTCTGGCTGTTTTGTCCCCAAAATTTGGCCAATTCCCAGGAATTTTTAGCTGGTTTTTAGAGTTTTTAGGTCTTCCCCCCTACCCCCCATTTGAGGGCTTTTGGAATTCCCACATCCCAAAAATGCCAGGATGGGGTGAGGGGTGAGGCCTCTGGAGCCGGACATGGAGCCAGGATTCCCTACTCCCAATAAATGGAGTTGGGTAAAAACCCCAAATTTGGGAGGGAAGAGGGAAAGAAGCACTTTTTGGGAAGGGAGGATTTTCCTCCTTTCCCACTTTTCCTGCTTCCCATCGTTAGGTTTGGACTTGACCTGGAGCTGCAGAATCCAGGGACTGGACCAGCAGTGGTATCTGGAATCTGAGGGATCCAGGGCATCCAGGATCTGGGAGATCCAGGATTTGGGAATTCCAGCATCTTGGAATCTGAAGGGTGGAAAATCCAGGATCTGGGAGTTCCAGGGTCTGGAAAATCCAGGGTCTGGGAGTTCCAGGATCTGGGAGTTCCAGGGTCTGGAAAATCCAGGGTCTGGGAGTTCCAGGGTCTGGAAAATCCAGGATCTGGGAGTTCCAGGGTCTGGGAGTTCCAGGGTGTGGAAAACCCAGGATCTGGGAGTTCTGGTGTCTTGGAATCTGAAGGGTGGAAAATCCAGGATCTGGGAGATCTGGAATCCAGGGGATCCAGGGCCTGGGATGTCGGGAGTCAGAAATCCAGGCTCTGGAGATCCAGGATGTGGGAGATCCAAGGTCTGGGCCCAGAGTGTTGGAGCAGTGCCAGGTGTTCCCCCTGTTGGGATCCGGGAATGGGAAGAGCAGAGCCCCTGGAGCCATTTGCTCCAGAGGAATTCCTGTTCTACCACATCCCGGCCAGCCTTCCATGCATCTTCCCAAATCCTTTCCCTTATTCCCTCATTCTCTTCACCTCATGCATCTGCAGGACCGGGAGCAGCTGCTCCCCCCGGATCCCAGGATGGCTCCATCCCACTCTGAGGCCGTTTCTAAGGGCTTTTCAGGGATTTTCCCTTTGTTTGTGTCGCTTTAAATCCCGGAGCTCCTGGAGAAGAACCTCTGGGATCCACCCTCAGACTCCCTCACCTGCCTCAGAATTCCTGTCCAGGTGTTTCTCCAGGTTTCTGGACCCCACCTGGAGCTGTGGGATCCAGAGCAGTTTTCGTTCCGTCCTGGAGTTTTCCTCCCTTCCGTTCCCGTTGGATTCCTGCGGATCTGGCTCTGGCTGCGGAGCCGTTAAATCCTAATTACCTTTTTAGGTTGTTATCCTTTTCCTGCCGTTCCTTGGGAATGCTTGCCCTGGGAATCAGCCATTTTGTGCTCCGTGTCGGAACGCGCTTCCAGGTGCTGGGATGTGCCGATCCCGCATGGAATCGGGAGCAGCTCCCGGGCAGCTCGTGGCTCCGCATTCCAACCGGACGGCTCCGGATGAGGAACCAACTCTGCAGATTTCCCACGGGATCAGAGCAGTTTTCTGTGGGATTTGGGGGGTTTTGGGGCAGCAGGAATGTGCCCAGGGGAGTTGGATGAGTTGGATCCCATCCCTGATCCTGGGAAAATGGGGCTTTAAGTGGCTTTCTATCCCATAAATATCAGGATTTTTTAACATCCAAATGGGGCCATTGAGCAACTCCTTGATCCAAATCCCTGGATTTGGAGGGACTGGGGCGATGATTCAACCTCTTGGAACATTTTGGATCCAGCCTGGATGTGCCAGGATGGGAATCAGGTCCCACCCAACATCCCAGATAACGTGGAATGTTGGGTTTGGATGTTGATTCCTGACCTGCCAGGTCTCTCCTGGGATTGATTCAGGAATTCCAGCCCCAAATAGTTGGGAACTGGAGGGTATATCCATGTTGCCTCCTGGGCTTATTCCCACTGAGAATTCCGGGCAGGAGCAGGGACCAGGACTTGGGTGGTGAATGAGAGACTCCCGGGATGTGCTGGGATGGTGTTCCTGGTGCTCAGGAAGGAATCCTTGGAGCTGAATTCCCAATGCTCCACCCTCCCAGTGTCCCTTCTTCCTCATGCTGGATCAGAGATCCAGGAGAAGGAGCTGGAATGTCGTTGGGCAGTGAGGATCCCTGTGCTTGGGAAGAGCCGGAATTTCCCTTCCAAGGGAATATCCAAGGGCTTGGGATGCTCCAGGAAGCTGCTGCAGGTGTCTCTTCCTGAGAATACTGGAATTTTGGGCTGGTTTATTTGTGATTTCCCACTCTTGCTCCCTTGGAGCAGGATCTTGGGATCCACCTTGGCTCTTCCAGGGCTACTGGAATTCCCAGTGCTGCTGGAGCAGAGTCAGGAAAACAGGGAGACCTGGAGTCACTGGGACCACATGGATCCTTTGTGGTGGATCAGGGGTCATCCTAGGTGGATCAGGGATCATTCCTGGTGGGTCAGAGATCATCCCAGGGGTGGATCAGGGATTACAGCCCGTCCACTGGCTCCGGAGGGTTCGAGGCCAGGAATAGGGGCTGGAAGACCAACGTGGAGATTGACTCAATGGAAAAACCTCCAGGAAGGGACTGGAGCCTTGTGGGGCTTCCCTGGAAAAACTCCATCTGGAATTAACTCCTGGTGCTGCCAACTTTCGGTTCTGGATCCCATTGGATAAACCCCAGGATATTCTCCATCCTGGTCGCATCTCTCCCTGGATATTCTCCCTTTTCCACTGGAATATCCCTGGTTTTGGCCCAGCTCCTCCTGGCCTTTCCAATCCTCCCGTTGGCATTTTTTTGGTTGGATGTTTTCCCTATGGGAGCCGAATCTAATATCCATGGAAAACGGGGAGCTGCTTTGTTTGTCTGGGAATGCCAAACTTGTCCTGCCAGGCGGGAGAAGCGCCCGGAGCGAATGGAACGCGTCAGGGAGCGCGTGGAGCAGGAACCACGATCCCCCAGAAAACTGGGAATTGCCACTGGGATGACGTTGTCCGGCAGACTGGGATTCCTGGAAAGCATTCCAAGGTCAGCCCTCACTGCTCATCCCACCCTGGCAGCCTCTGGAATCTCGGCTCTACTCCGACCCCAGGATCCTGTTTCCAGGACAGTGTTCCTGGGACAATCCCAGTTGGAGGCATCCCATGGATTTGGCTCCTGTTTTCCCGGGGTTTTGCCACCATTTGGGAATTCTGTTCCAGGGATGATGGTTGTTTAAAGTGGAGTGTAGGGAGAGGCGGCTCCTGTTCCCTGGGAAGTGCTGATTCCCGGGAGCGGGGCCGGAGGCAGCGGGGCCGGATGAGCCGGTTTGGGATGTGCCAGGACCAGAGTGGGGCCTGAACTTCCCACTGTCCCGGCTCCAGAGCCGCTGGGTCCCTGGGATTGGAATAACTCCTGCTCCTCGCTGCCGAGTATTGGATGGAATCGAGGGCTCTCCTGTGGCTTTCCCACTGGAAATTCCCAGTGGATCCTCCCGTGCCCCCTCCAGCCGAGGGGCCTGGTTTGATCTGGAATCCAAAGCCTCACTGACTTTTTTTTGGATCTGGCCAAGCCTGGAAAACCTCTGGAGCGGATTAAACACCGTCGGGCCCCGTTCTTGGTAACGGCACCTTGGATTTGTTTGGAAAACCGGAGGAAAGGGCCTTGGGAATCCTTGGAGCCCTCAGTTTATATCCCTGCGAGTGGGAGCTGCATCCATGGGCTGCTCCGACCTTCCCCCTCTTCCCTCTGGCTCAGGGATTTCAGTGCTCCCAGGATCCCTGGGGCTTGTTCCCAGGGTTTTGTTCCCAGTTTTTCCTTCTGCATCCCGAAATGGTGTTTCTGTAACTTCCCAAAGCTAGAATGTCACTAGGATACTGGGATACTGGAGAGGGATGTGGGAATGCGTGCTAGGCAGCATGGGGATCCTCAGGAACGTGGGGATGCTCAGGGATTTGGGAATGCTGGGGGCTATGGGATCCTCAGGAGTGCACGGGGATGTGGGAATGCTGAATTCTGGGATATTGGGGAACATGGGGATGCTCAGGAATGCTGGGGGATGCGGGAATGCTCAGGGATTTGGGAATGCTGGGGATGTGGCACCTCCCTGGCACTGGAGCCCCCGTTTGTGGTGGGACCAGGGGAACTCTGGAATTCCCACAGGAAGAGGAGGCAGCAGGATCCCTCCATCCATGGGGAAGATGGGCAGGAGTTGGATCTGTTTCCACATCTCCCTGCTGGGGCTGGAGATCCACTCTTGGATCCACTCTGGGATCCCCATCTCGTTCCACTCCTGGATCCATTCCTAGATCCACTCTGGGATCCCCTTCTGGATCCATTCCTTAATCTCCACTCTAGGATCCACTCTGGGATCTCCACTTGGATCCGCTCCTGGATCCATCCTGGGATCCACTTCTGGATCTCCCTGCTGGGCCCTGGCTGTGCTCAGGTGTCTGTGGGGAGCTCCCCATGTTATTCCCAGCAGGAATCCCATGGGATGCCGTTCCCACGAGGCCCTTTCGAACCTCTCCTGACTCCTCCTGCTCCTCCGTGACTCTCGAGAGCATGTTCCCGGCCAAACTCTGGGATGCTGGCGCGTTCCCAGCGGAGCAACCTCAGCGCCGGGCGTGGCTCCGGGCGCTCCCGGCTGTCTGGGCCATCCCAGCTCCTGCTTCCCCCTGAGGTCATTCCTGCGGGACGGGGGCAGGGGCGGCTCCGAGGCCTGTTCGGACCTGCCAGGCTAAATTTGGGAGCAGGAGACGTACGGGAGCCGGGATGGGCAGGTGGGAAGAGCCCCAGGTGTTCTCCCAGAGGCTCCTTCCGGCTTTTGCTCGGGATTTGGGATTTCCATTGGTTTTCCCGCCCCCATGTTCCAAGAGTGAGGTGTCTCTGCCTCTGGAAGCTGAACCTGTGTCCCAGCCCTGTGTCATTCCAGGGATTTACACCTGAGCCAGGACCTTTTCCTAGCAGAGCTTTGGCTCAGGGAAGGTTTATCCCAGGAATGACCCAAGGCGGGTATGGAGCAGCTCCGGGGGCCGAGATCCAGCCACTCGGGACATGGACACTTCGCATTCCCTGCGGAGCCAGTGCAACTCCCGGCGTTCCCGAACCAGCCACGTGGAATTCCCACCCATTCCCAAGGTGTTTGTCTCGGTCCCTGGCTCTGCTCCGCAGGGAAAGGCCTCACCTGGCTGGTTCCTTATCAGCCTGGGAGTGGGATTGGGCTGGGATGGGCTCCGGGGCTGGGATGGGGTTGGGTTGAGCTCCGGGGTTGGGATGGGGCTGGAATTGGCTCTGGGGTTGGGATGGGCTCCGTGGCTCCTGCCTGTTTTCCACAGGGCATTCCTGCACCTGGAGCCAGAGTGGGAACACGGAGAGGTAGGTGGATGGGATGGACCTGCTTGCACCTCCATCCTCCTGGAAAACCTCGTGGTGGGGGATTTCCCGAATCCAGAGGCTTCCATGGGATTCATTCCGACTCCCCTTCCTTGCCGAGTTGCATCTGTGGGGTTTGAATCCTGAGGAAGGGATTGTGCCGCTGTTCTCTGGGATTTGGGGAGCTCCTGCCCTTCAGGATCCTTCCAGGATCCTTCCTGACTTGTTTGGCATTGAGAGGTCCCAGGGAGGTTGAAGCTCCTTGAGGAGATTTGAGCTCCATGAGGAAGTTGGAGCTCCATGGGGAGTTTGGTGCTCCCTGAGGAGATTTGAGCTCCATAAAAAGGTTGGAGTTCCATGAGATTGGAGCTCCTTGAGGAGGTTGGAGCTCCTGAGGAGGCTGGAGCTCTGTGAGGAGGCCGGAGCTCTCCGAGGAAGTCAGAGCTCTCCAAGGCTGGAGTTGGGCTCAGAGTGGACCCTGGGGGGGGTTCGCTGGGATCCACCACATCCAGGACACTGCCAGTGTCCCTGTCCCTCCTCTTTCCCCCATCCCTGACCACATCCCTGTCCCTCTCCTGTCCCTTTTCCCTGCCTGTGTCCCTGTCCTGGTCCCTGACATGTCTTTGTCCATGTCCCTGTCCCATTCCCTGTCCCTGCCCATGTCCTTGTGCCATTCCCCATCCCACTCCATTCCCGGCTGACGGTACCATGTCCATGTCCAGGATGGAGCGGATGACGGAGGACGCACTGCGGCTGAACCTGCTCAAGCGGGGCCTGGAGACGGGGCCGGAGGAGCGCGAGGACGTCCTGGCCAAGCGGCTGAAGATGGAGGGCCACGAGGCCATGGAACGGCTCAAGATGCTCGCCCTGCTCAAGAGGAAGGACCTGGCGGGGCTGGAGGTGCCCCACGAGCTCCCAGGAAAGCCCGACGGGATCAAGGGCTACGAGGAGAAGCTCAACGGGAGCCTAAGGCCCCACGGGGACGGGAGGGGCTCGGCCCGGCCCGGCAAGGAGAACATCAATGACGAGCCCGTGGACATGAGTGCCAGGAGGAGGTGGGTGTGGGAATGCCGGGATGGGAGTGGGAATGCCAGGATGGGAGCAGCCAACTGGGGACAGGAATGCCGGGATGGGAGCTGCCAGGAGGAGGTCGGTACGGGGATGCTGGGATGAGAGAGGGAAGAAGCCTGGTCAGCGATTAAATGGGATTTGGGGGGTCTGGTAGATCAGATTCCAGTGGGTAAAGGGGCTCCAAGAGCTGGAGAGGGACGTGGGAATGGTGGGATAAGAGGCAATGGGTTCATGTAGACAGTTTGGTTAAGTGGGATGTCGGGAAGCAGTTGGGAATGTGGGAATTGGGAATTCTTTCTTGTGTAGGGGGTGGCACAGGTTATCCAGGGGATTTGTGGGTTCCTCATCCCTGGAAGTGTCCAAGGCCAGGTTGGACAGGACTTGGAGCAACCTGGGCTATGGAAGGTGTCCCTGCTCCGAGTGCGGAGTCCATGGGCTGCGTCCCTGGAATTCCATGGATGTTGTGCAAGATGAAGGGAATCCAGTTGGGCACCAGCACCAGACACTTGGATCAGGGGTCAACCCAGGAAGGAGGTGGGAATATCCCACTCTAAGTTTGGAAATCATTGTGAAGTTTCATGGGGAGTGTCTCATTTCCCTGGATTTTCCCTGGAAACGTGCTCCACGTCTTCCCACCTCCTTCACCGTGGCTCCTGTTCCGGTGGTTCCCTTGGAATTCTGCTCTTTCCTGGACAAAGGAAATCCAGTGATTCCTTGTGGATTTTCCTGTTGGATTTGGACTTTGGCTTTGTGTTACTCCCCTCAATGGAATGTAAATAATCCAGCCTGGATTTATCCGGATGCTCCTGCAAAATCATCCCTGCCAGCTATGGGGAAAATCCTGGACCAGGATCCGCTGCTGGATCCCTCTGGTTTGAAACTCCTGGGATGCAGCTTGGATTGCTTGGATGGGCTCCTACTGGATCCATCTCCATGGGATGCTCCGGACCTTCTCTGCTGGAGAAGGGGCAGCTCCAGTGCTTTGGAATATCCACAGAAACAGCTGGAATGTTTGGGAGACGAAGACAACTCCCCCTCTGAGCATCTTCAGAGCAGCTAAATCTGGGATCGGGCTCCATGTTTCCTCCTGGGTGTTTGGAGCTGAAAGTTTGGGATGCGGTATTCCATGATCTCCTCACTCCAAGGACCTTCCAGGGAGCTGGGGCATGACAATCCCAGCTGCTTCCATGGCTCCACGCTGGATTATTCCACAGTTTTCCAAGGCTCTCCAGCATGAAGACGTGAAATCTGCATCTCCTTCCCGGGGATAATCCCTGGATCCCAACACTGGCTTTTAGTTCAGTCTTTCTTTTCCCAGCCGCTCCTTTTGTTTTCTGATTCCCTCACAGATCCATTGGATATTTACTCGGATTTTCCTTTAGGGACTGTGCTTTTCCGATAGATTTGGGCTGGGATAGGCTTGGAATGATAGCATTACCGGGAGAGCTTGTCCCCTTCTCCCCTACACCGTGGTGAGGATGAGCCATTCCAGGCTGGAACATCCCAGAGTCTGGATTAGAATCTGCATTATTTCCAATTCCCAGGTGGGATTTGCCCACCTGGAGCTTCCCCCTCTCCCCTGCCAGGGTGGTTTGGAGGGATTGGACTCCCGGGGGGGGGGCGGGGCCGTGTTCCAGCCAGGATCCGTGTTGGATTGAGGGGTGGTGCAGAATTCCTGCTTTCCCGGCTCATCCCGGTGTGTTCCTGCAGTGACCCGGAGCGGGGCCGCCTGACGCCATCCCCAGACATCATCGTGCTGTCGGACAACGAGGCCTCCAGCCCCCGCTCCAGCTCCCGCATGGAGGAGCGGCTCAAGGCCGCCAACCTGGAGATGTTCAAGGTGAGGGAGCCCAGAATTCCGGCGGCTTCGGGCCCTCCCAGCAATTTCCCGGCACAACCACCGGCTTCCTGCTCCCAAATCCGCCCAAATGATCCAAATTCCCGCTCGGGTTGAGCTTCCTTCTGGTCTTTCCCTCACGTTTTCCCGGCGTTCCTGGTTTTTCCAGGGAAAGAGCCTGGAGGAGCGGCAGCAGCTGATCAAGCAGCTCCGGGACGAGCTGCGACTGGAGGAGGCCCGACTGGTGCTCCTGAAGAAGCTGCGGCAGAGCCAACTCCAGAAGGAGAACGTGGTCCAGAAGGTGAGGCTTGGGATGGGAGGGATAACGGGAAGGACCACGTGTGGCACATCCCGTGGGAAATCCCCCAAATCTGCGGCCCTGGCACAACCGGGAACACAAACCTGCGGTGCTCAGCATCACAACTTGTGGAATTCCGTCTCTCCGGGGGCTGATCCTGGCTCTCCCCCCCATTCCTGATCCAGACCCCTGTTGTCCAGAACGCCGCCTCCATCGTGCAGCCATCGCCGGCCCACGTGGGGCAGCAGGGCCTGTCCAAGATCCCGGCCCGGCCTGGAGCCCAGGGTGTGGAGCCACAGAACTTAAGGACACTGCAGGTGAGCGTTCCCCCTTTTCCCTGGAAAACACTCACTCTGCTGGATGCACACCCAGCTGAGATCCCTTCTCCAGGAGGCAGAGGAGTTCTGGCACTTCCCAACTCCAGGAGTTGGGGTTTGGGGTTGTGCTGGGTGGGAGTTAGACCCCACAATCCTTGTGGATCCAGCTTGATATTCCATGATTCCTTAAATATCCAGTGTCCCTCTTGGGATGGGGTGAGGACATAGCCTCTGTCTGTAGCCTTCCTGCTTTTCCCAAAGGATTCACATTCTAGCCTTATTTTTGTGTTATTTAGTTTACTGAGTTTAGGGAGTCCAAGGAGCATTTGGACAACAGGATTGTTGGGATTGTCCTGTGTCTGTCTCTTCCCACTGAACCACCTGGCTCCGGAAAGTGGTTTCTCCACGTATTCCTGCCCCTTTCCTTGACTCCAGAGCAATTCCAGCCTTTCCACGGAAAATTGTTGGCTCAAGCCGTTCTCCCTCCAGAAGGGCCACAATCATTTAAAATGAAGGCAAATTTGAGGGAAAAGTGAAGGATTTTAAGCATTAGGAGTTAACTGGGATTCTGGGTAAGCAGAAATTCCCTGGATCACAGAATTAAAGCTCCAGGTTTGCCTCAAATCCTTTATTTTTATCGTATTTTATTTATTTCACCGACTCCAAGGAGTGTTTACCCAACCGGATTGTTGTGGTTGTCCTGTGTCCACCTCCCTCCAAAATGACCTCAATTATTTAAAATCAAGGATAATTTTGGAAAAAGAGAAGGATTTTGACTCTTAGGAATTATGGATAAGCGGGAATCCCCTGGATGAGAGAATTAAAGCTCCAGGTTTGCCTCAAATCCCTTATTTTATTTATTTTACTGAGCCCAGTGGAATCGTTGGGTTGTCTCGTGTCGATCCAGGAGTTGGACCCACCATCCCTATGGGTGTGTCCCATGATTCCCAGTGACTCCCAGTGATTCCCAGTGATCCCCAGTGACCCGTGGCTCTCTCCCTGATCTCCCAGGGGCACTCGGTGATCCGCTCGGCCGCCAGCTCGGCACTGCCCCACATGTTGATGTCCCAGCGTGTCATCGCCCCCAACCCGGCGCAGCTCCAGGGGCAGCGGCTGCCGCAGAAACCCGGCCTGGTGCGGAGCAACACCCCCAGCATGACCCCCACCATCAACTACCAGCCGGTGCGTGGGATGGGCATTGGCAGGAGCTGGGCTGGGATGAGTTGGCGTGGGTTGGGATGGTTTGGAGAGGTTGGACTGCTGTCTCCACAGCGGTCCGGCCCCGTTATCCCGCTGTTCTCCCCGCTGATCCCACTGTTCTCCCTGTCCCCACAGCAGTCCGGCTCGTCGGTGCCGTGCCAGCGCTCCTCGTCCTCTGCCATCTACATGAACCTCGCATCCCACCTCCCATCGGGCTCCGTGGCCCGCGTGTCGTCGCCGCTGCCAAGCCCCAGTGCTCTGTCCGATGCCGCCAATTCCCAGGCGGCCGCCAAGCTTGCGCTCCGGAAGCAGCTGGAAAAGACACTCCTGGAGATCCCACCGCCCAAACCACCAGCGCCACTGCTGCACTTCCTGCCCAGCGCCGCCAACTCTGAGTTCATCTACATGGTGGGGCTGGAGGAGGTGGTGCAGAGCGTCATCGACAGCCAGGGTGTGTGTTCCCACCAGATTTTCCCAAAAAAAGTGGGAGTCTAGGGTGTTTCGGGGCGAAATCAGGGGTTTTTAGCCCGGATTTGGGGGTTTCCTGGGGCCTCCCCTGTTGCTCTGACTACTTTGCCCGGTGGGGCTGGAGGAGGTGATAACAGCCAAGGTGGGTGTTCCCGGGGAATTCCTGAGAAGACAGGGAATTTGGGAAGGATTTGGGGGGGGGTCAGGGCAGAGTCTGGGGTTTCAGTGCGAAATTTCAGGATTCTGGGATTGATTTGGAGGATTTCAGGCAAAACTTGTGGGATTTCAGACCAAATCATGTGTATGATACCAGGCTCTGTGTAGAGCTGTTGGTGTGTGGGCAGGGGTTTATCCCGGTATCCCATGATCCCTGTGCCATTCCAGGGAAGAGCTGCCCGGTGT